CTTGACGAACCATCAGATTTTAACAACTATTGAGGTTACTCTTGCTGATCTAACCTGAAAAAATGAAAGTCACAGAAAAGATGAATGCCCTTCAACGGAACCATACGTGGTAGGTTGTTGATCTTCCTCGGAATAGGAAAGTTGTAGGGTGTCGATGGATTTTCAGAACCAATTTCAACTCTGATGAATTATTTGAAAGCAACAATACACGTCAAAGGGTACTCACAAACCTACAGAATTAACTATAAGGAGAACTTAGCTCCAGTTCCTAAGTTAACATTATTCGGGTCTTGTTATCCCTTGCGATGAATCTGGATTAGTCTTTATTCTAGCTGGCTGTCAAGAATGCGTTCTTGAATGAAGAGCTTACAAAAGAGGTGTACATGTCTCTCCCTCCTAACTTTGACTCTATTGTCTCTAGAGGACAAGTGTGCAGATTACAAAAATCCCTTTACGAGCTAAAACAGTCCTCAGGGCCTAGTTCGACAAGTTTATAAAGGTGGTCGTGTGTCATGGATTTACTCAGGCTCAGTGGGATCACATCATCTTGTTCTGCATTCCTCCAATGGCCAGGTAGCTATATTTATTGTCTATGTTGACGATATTATTCTTACAGGTAATGATCTCCCATCATAGAATTCCTTGCTAAGTCCTTTGAAATGAAAGACTTGGGATCTCTCGGGTACTTATTATGCATGGAAGTGGCTCAATTATCTTGGAGCATTTTTCTGTTCGGCACAAATATGTGATTGATCTCTTGACAGATAACGACATTCTTCTAAGCAAACCTGTTGTGTGGCGATGGATCCCAATAAAAAATGATCTGACATCCCCAATCTTATGTCTGTCAACAAGACTCATTATTAGCGTCTTGTGGGAAAATTCATTTACCTCGTTCATACTCACCCTGCCATGCAGTTGGAATAATAAGTCAATTTATGCATGATCCCTATAAGCATCATCTCCAAGTTGTCTATCAGATTCTTCATTGTTTAAAGGGTACATTGGACTCAGGTTTATTTTTCTCCCATTACACCTCTCGGTCTATTACTGTTTATTCAGATGTTGATTGGGTCGGATCGGTTCATGATCGACGTTCCACCTCTGAGTATTGCTCATTTGTACGAGGCAACCTTGTCAGATGAAAAAACAAAAAATAGTCTGTGATTGTCCGTAGCAGTGCTGAAGCTGAATTTCGGTCCCTATCCTTAAGAATATGTGAAGCTCTCTGATTACGCATCATGCTCAGTGAACATCGTATATCAATATTCATCCCGCCACAGCTATTTCGTGATTTAAGATTGTCATCAGCATTGCTCACAATTCAGTCCAGCATAATTGTATCAAACATGTGGAGATTGACAGACACTTCATTAAAAAAAAAATTAAGTACGAGGAAAGTTGTGTTCATTTTGTGTCATCCAGTGGTTAACTAGCAGACATCTTTACCAAAAATCTTCCTCATATCTTATCCGATAACTTCAAATCCAAGTTTAACATGACTGACATCTTATGCTTCAACTTGAGGGAGAGTATTAGATTTATAACGAAAACCTTCAGTTGTTATTAATTATTATTAGTTTTTGTTCCCTCATTATGTATTTCTTATTTGTTTTAGTATATTTTATTTATTTCTTTTATTATGTCTATTGTAATTGAGTTTAAATATCCCTCCTATCAATAACATCAAGTTGCGCTATTTCAAAATTCAACAAGTAACCCTCTAAATTTTATCAATAATTTTATAGAAAATGAGTGCTCATTTACAAAAGTCAAACACTTGGCCTCTCACCTTTCACTATATTGAATTTCAGCCCTATAGCCTCAATGATGTACAACCATTAATGGATTCAACAACATTTAGCAAACATAGAATGAGCTAAAAAGGGCATATACTAAATAGTGAAAATAAATTGCTTAAAGATGAAATTGGTTAGCCACCATGATGATAATGAAGGGGAGGAGAGAGGGGAAAATGATGGTAATGTTAAGGTGATGGTAGAAGGAAGCAAACTTCTTCATTAAGTTTTCTCCAATGGAAAGAACAAAACATGAATGATAGTGGAATGATCGAAGCTTACTCAACTAACATTGTGCAATCAATTACCTTACCATAAAAAAGTTGCCATAGCTTTATAAAATAAAAAAGATGGCTTAGGTTATCACAACTCGGCTTAGGCTTTGAATTTTTCAAGACAAGAACAGAGGGTTGTACGATGATAATTAAAATTTTTTACTAACATTTTCTATAAAAAATATTGAATCATCCCAAACAAATAAAAATGTCACTACATATTTAAAAATTAAATTAAACAAATGATAAATTTAGCTTAATTCAGGTTATTCACGTTTTTTATAAATATTTCATCTTCTATTTTTCATTTTTTCTTTGAAATTCAACCTGAAAAATATTAATTTAAAATAAAATGAACTAACAAGCTAGCGAGTATTAATACTTCTGGACTACAGTAACATGACCAAAAGAAAACAATACACATGTTAGTTAGGTGTATCTAATTAATGTAAAAGAAACAATCAATATTTTAATATTAAACTATGACCATGCGATGATGTTTAGAATGTTTAATACTATCATATAATAACTATATATATTTCATTAAAAGAATGGCCAGAGATTATTATACGAGCCTCCGACCGCCCCTAATGTGTCTAATAATTCGAGTAGCACCTCCTTAAGGCCAACCGTGTCAGAGGGAATTCAAACCCCTGACCTAAGGGATCTTATACAATAGATGTCAACCAACAGTTTGGCGTACACGGTCTAAAAACTTGTACCGATTAAGGTACATCTATATCAAAATTACTTTTCATTTACATGCACAAGAATCTTAGCATTTCTCACTAGTATTAAAAGAGGGTGAACTTCATCATAGTCAGCATGCACATACAATCACTTTATATAGTTCATAGCATTCACATTTTCATTTATATAATATGCAATATTTAATAAATAGTGCATAAAATTTTTTATATTAAAATATAGTAAACATTCATATCAATATGATCGATGAAATTGAATAGTGGATAAATTAAAATAAAGTTTTGAAAGTGCATTGATCAAGCACCAAAACAATTCATGCAACTGGTTTGAAAGAATTCAAAAATGCTACTATAGCTTAACGAGTACTCACCTCATTCTCTTGACGACAAACATTTTTTTGTTGCTATCAGTTTCCTTGAAGTACTTAATTATAAAGGTAAAAAATTTTAGTCAATTGGTTCTATTTACTTCTATTATCAAATAACGTCTTTCTTATATTGAATTATAGAAGTTTAATTAATCTTTACGCTTAATTAAGTATATAATCATAATTAGTATTTATTGCTTGGAAGTGGATTATAACCGTCTCAAGATTAAAACTTTTCATGTTTTGCTCTTCTAACATAGCCTTATTTAAATTATTAATATTTACTTCTATTAAATTTTGATCTTATTTTACCCTTAATTTAAAATGTAAACCCTCCTCAATTATTCTTATTGATTGCACTAAAATAACATCATTTTCAATATATATATATATATACTAAAATAACATCTTTTTCTATATATATATATATATATATATATATATATATATAACATTTCAAAATTATTTAAATTTAATTATTTCTTACAAATTCAATTTTCTTTCTTCAAGTAAATTTCTCTACAAATTTATAATTAAATTTTATCTTCTAATCTATACATAATATTCTCATCAAATTCTTAGATTTGATATTATAGTGTTAAAAGATTCAAGAATGAAATATTTAATTAAACATTACCCCAAAATGGTTAAACCTTATGGCTTGAACAACTCTAGTACGCATTGATTGCATGCCACATCACCTGTATTTGATTTGATCTTCACCGCAACCTTAATAGCCTCTGTCGTCACTGTTGCATGCTCGACTTCGTCCTATCAGCAAGTTGCGGGTGTTGCACTGCTTTTTCTTCTTTCACCACTTCATTTGAGCTCATCTTCAACTTCAATTGATTTGTTAAATGCTTATGCTTGCAATTGTTCGCTCGATCCCGCGCTCGGTCACAGCTTCTACTTCTCCTTTTCTTAGCTTCACCTCACATTTAGATGCTTTAACTCCTCAATACCTTACACGCAATGAAGTCCTAGCTCGTAACTGCCTCATCTCCTATACAACCTACTTTTTCGTTACTTTCTCCTTCCCACGCCTCGGCTCATCGACGTTGTAGTCAAACTCAAGCCCAACACCACTCATCATTGTTGATCTTCGTCACACTCCTTACTGTACCACTCGGAAAGGTGAAGTCTTTGTTCCCCCTTCTACGTCTTCCATGCTAGGACGATACCCTTTTCTTAAAATTCACTTAGCATCAAGGTTCACACTGTCAGTAGCTTGCTCCCTTGTCTCTTCTTAAAGGTGGATTTGTTTCCTCTGGTCTGTCACGCTAGTGTTACATTCCAGAGGAAAAACTGAGTGTTTCATGAATAGTTGATTCAATTATTATGATGAAACAAAATTCAATTAGTTTTCTTCAGCAAAAAGGAACACAGCATAAATGATGATGGAATGTTAAAAACTTACTAAAATTGCCTCGTAAAATCCAAATATTTCTTATTAGGAAGCCACGGACGAATGATGAAAACAAAAAACTTGTCCTTCAGTTTTGCACATCAATGATAATACCATAATACAAGAGCAATAAGAGGCATGAACAGATGATGAAAACATCCTATTTATTGAATCAATTTCCTTGACATATAAATTTAGGGGAATTTACATACATACGACCCAATTCCCATGTATTTACATATCTAACTCCTAAAGTTTGCTTCTTTTTTTTTATATATATTCATAACACCCAAATCTTTCATATCACATAAAAATTACAGCCATTTAAACTTTTAAAAAGTGAAATGCACCTTTTCATGCATAGGTAAGGTGACATTTATGTAAAAATTGAAGTTTAGGTGTTTGAAAAATGAAATCCATAGCCCTAAAACAATCGACAGCATTAGGTTTTCCAACAAAGTGAACTAACCACAATTCATGTTATGATTTTAATAAACAAGAAATATAGGCGTGAGCCCTCAATATATAGCAAGGGGAGATTCTGGAAACATTATACAGAGAAACTACTTTCAGTTGCTCCCATTTCCCATACTAATATTCCAATTCAGCATGCACAACATGATACGAAGAACAAAAACTGTGGAGTGGTAGATTGGTTGGTGGAAATAAAACTAAGATCATAAAATGAACAACATCAAACCCTGAGTATCTGCAGTTTAGTGGAAAAAGCAATGGCGACCCAATCTGGCTGCGAGGAGGACCATTGGAGCTGCTCTATCTCAGCTCCTGCAGTATAAGCAAGGATGGGATCGAGCCCCCCCTCAGCCGCAGGCTGCTGCTGCTTCCCTCCAGACGAGATCGAGGTGCTTCCCATGGAAGAGAGGTCCCAAATGAGTGCCTGAGAATCATCACCCGCGGTGCAAATGTGGCAGGAGCTGTGGGGTGCCCAGGCGATGGCATTTATGCTGGCGTGGTGTCTCTGAAGCTCGACAACAGGGAGTGTGGGAAAACGGATGTCGAGAACGACGACCTTGGCGCTGTCCATGATGATGGTGGCCATGTAGCGAGGATCCTGCTTATTCCAACCAAGGCGAACGAGTGGGGTGTCCGGGGGATCAGAGGACTCATAGATAATGGTTGAGTGCTCCTTATCACGGAGGTCAAAGACGCGCACTGAACCATCAGCAGAAACGGAGGCGAAAACGCCGACGCCGCCCCAAGCAATATCATAGACCTCCTTGTCGTGTGCGATGAGCTGCGTGTCGACGGCTTCCCTCTCGATGTCCCAGATGGTACATGTCGTGTCGATAGAGGAAGTCCCGATGCGGCGGGGCTCGGTCTCGTTCCAATCGAAAGAGGTGAGAGGACCGCAGAACTCAGAGTTTTTGTTACCATTAAGGATAGACTTAAGCTCTACGCATGAAGAATCATCGGCAATCCGCCAGATACGGAGGAAGTCGGCAGAAGTAGCGAGGAGGTCCGGCCGGAGGCAGTCTCGATCAGGGACGAACATGGTCTTGGTGGGAGGATACGAATGATCGAAGCAGAGATTGGGGTCCGAACGGATCTCCCCCGTGGAGTCGTCTAGTTGCACGATCTCCACGCGATTCGTGTACTGCTCGAGGAGGCTAGCGATGGCAAGCCGGTACTTCTTGTCACGCCGAACGCTCCAATTCATGGCATAGATGTGCCAGGGCGCCTCGTATGTGTAGATCTCCGAACGCTTTTGTTGCTCCTCCGATTCCTCCGTCGTCCCACCTCCACCGCCACCGCTCACCGCCATTCTTCAAAGAACTCGCGAAGAACTCAGAAGGCCTGACTTTATAATAACCTAAATTTCTTCCCTTTAATAGTTCTTTACAACCTTTCGACGGAAATCATTCCAGTGCGAGACGAAGAAGAGGGCGATGACGAAGGAATACGGATCAGACATCCCGATTTATTTTGGTGGGGCTCATCTAAACATTAAAATAAAAAAAATAAAAAAAAATAATAATCCGTGATCTACGGTCAGGATCGGACAAACGAGATTATAGAAGTGATTTTAGGGTTGGAAAAAAAAATTATGTGGGGCCCACCTAAATACATCTGATCAGGATCGGACACCGCACGCAAGCCGTTTCCGATCCGTATGTAATAATTTTTCCTAAGGGGGGTGTTTGGCTCTGAGGAGAATTTAATTTAAATATGGTTTAGTAAATCCATAAATTTAGATTTATTAAATTTAAATATTATTAAATTTAAAATAATAGTTGGTTCGAATAAAATTAAATTCAGTTAAATTTATTTGAGATGTTTGGCATAAATCTATTTGAAATATTTTTTACTAGTGTTAAATTCATTAAATTTAACTAATAAGTGTATTTAGTAAGTCTGAATTTAACAAACAGAACAAGCAAAAATTGGATTTATCTAACCTGCTTATTATGTGTGGTTGGATTTAGATTAAATCTAACTTAAATCATCTTAAAAATAACATACCAAAAACCCAAAGGATAAGGAAGAATGAGAATGGCAACATATGACAAAACTCTAATTGTATAAGTGGTATTAGATAAGCCCTCTAAGGAATTGATTTACATTCACAACACTCAATAGCGGTCACCTATTTTGATCTCTATGAGCTCATGCATCATTCCTAAATGTTGATACATGCATAAAAAGTATTGTAGTCAATGGATACTTGTGATATTATTGGTCAGGACTGCAAAAAAAGCCATTAAGCATTTCCTTTCCACTTGAAAGATGTTTGATAAAGTGAAGCACTCTACCATCACTCTCCTTCCCAAATCTTTAAGTATGTTGGAAATTGCTTATTACAGACCAATTTCCTTTGTAATACCATTTATAAAGTCATTGCTTGGCTTATTGTTGATAGGCTCAAAGGCATTCTTCCAAGCATTACACATCATTCTTAAACAGCTTTTCTTGTTGGGAGAGATATTGCAGACAACAACTTTTTGTCTAACGATCTTCTCAATGGTTTCAACTCTTCTAGCCACCCTAAGAGTTTTTGTTCAAAAATTGATATTAAGAAACCTTTTGATTCTATCGACTAAAGTTTCATTTACAATAGGTTGTATAAGATGGGTTTTCCTCCTAAATTTGTGGGTTGGATAAAGGCATGTAATGTTGAAGTGCACTTTTTTGTTATTAATAATAATGAGATACAACACTATTTTCCTTCTACCCCAGGCCTTAGGCAAGGGTGTTCTCTCTCCCCTTGCGTCTTCACTATTGTTATGGATGCCTTCTCTTAGCTTCTTAATTTTTACAAGAATTTCTACAAGGTGGATAGCTGTTTTGATAGAACCAACCATCTTATCTATGTTGATGACCTACTTGTTTTTGGTAGGGCAAATGCTAATCAGGTTAAATGCTTCGCTCATACTTTGGAATTCTTTTTTAGTATTTCCAACCTTCAGTTAATAACTCTAAATCAACTTTTTTTATCAAATTTTGTTGAAGACTGTCTTAAGCCCTACTGTTGCCGCATTCTTGGTTTTCAAGAGAGATCATTACCTTGGGAGCACTTGGGAACTACTATCAACTTTGTTGAACTGTCACTAGATGCAACAGAGTGAATCATTACTTAAGTGGTTAGAAACATAAAATTCTTTTGTTTGTAGATAGAGTGCCACTTATTCAAACCACTATCTGGAACTACCTTCATTATTGGTTTAGATTCTCTATCACACCAAAACGCATCAAAAAACATCTCACTTCTCTGATGAACAGCTTCTTGCATCATCATAACTCTAATAGTAAGATGCATACCATTGTTCATCATAACACTACCAAGCTTAAACACCTAGGGGGTCTCGGTCTTCTCAACATGGACAATATCAACACTATTTGTAAATCTAAACTTATTTGGAGATTCTTCAATTGAAATTATATTTTATCTTGGTGGTGTGACACGAATTACACGACCATTTGGTTTAGAATGGACAAAAAGATTTCTACTGGAAAAGTTTGTTGACTATTGCTTTCTTATGGAGAGTGTGCTTTAATTTGCTTGTTAATAACAATGGGAATCTTTTTCTTTTTCTTTGGCCCTTGGTTTAATGGGATCTCATTGTTTGAGAGATATGGTGGCCAAGTGTTTAGTTGGTTCAACTGCCCTAAAAACACATAAATCTCTGATGTTATTCAAAATATATGTTGGGCCCTTCCCTCCATTGCTCAAGCTAACAATGATTGCATTCGTTCCATCACTCAAATCCTGATTGGGAACTCTATCTGACAGTGTAGTTAGCTTCATAAGGATCAATTCTCACATTAAAACACTTATTTCATTTATATAGAGATTTGTCGATCGTAAACTGACATTACTTCCTTTGCTTTAAAGTATATTCTCTTAAATTTGCCTCTTTTGCATAGAAAATACTCATTAGAGGGCTTAAAACTAAAGATATTCTTCTTGCTAGGAATGTGTTAGATGACACTCATTGTATTTTCTGCAATAAATACCAAGAGAATCAATCAAACCTATTTTTTTTACTATCATTTATCTTTCTCTTTACTAAAAAATAACACTACTTATGGTGATTTTTTTTACCTGGGTTGTTCCATGAATCAAGTGCTTGCTCATAATGATAATTTCAATTGCCCTATTTCTAGGAAATTCTTCTTGCTTGTTGTTCATGTTACCGCTTATTTTATTTGGATTGAGAGGAATTCTAGGATTTTTAGGAATTATTCTTAGTCTTTTGATATCATTTCACAAAAAATAAAACTTGTTGTAAAAGAGAAAAGTAGAAAGTGGAAGCCTAAAGTTGACGTCCCTGACAACGTAAAATAACTTTATAGGATATAAGCTTTGGACATTTCTATTTTCTGCTCTCTTTTGATTTAAGTCCTGATGGTCTGAACAAATTTTCTTTTTATTGATCCTCTTAGTTTTCTCTTTATTTTACAAATTTGGGTTTTATTGGACCCATGGATTATCTATCTATTTCTCTTGATTCAATATATGGATTTTTCAATTGACACTTTGTTGGATGGTTTCATGGGTTTTGAGAGCATTAATTAGGCTATTAAACACTTTTTCGCCTTTGATGGTTTTATATTGGCTACTCTTATCTAGCTAGAGTGCATCTATATGTACATATTTGGCTGCCTCGAGATCTTTGAACATTTTTTCTTTGTTGTTTTGCTGAAAATGGCTGCTTCAAGATCTTTGAACATTTTTTCTTTGTCATTTTGCTGAAAATGGAGGCTACTTCCTGGTCACATTTTTTTGTGTGGGTCCTCCCTATCATTGGCAAACCAAGAACATCGCGTTAAGATATGGGCCTTTTGATCTTCACTCATCTGTGCTCCATGATCTCTTTGTGACTGTTTTACTGATGGATTTTGTTACCCTTATGTAATTTCCCCTTTTGCTAACTAATTGGCGCTCTTTGGTTAAATATTTTTGGTATCAACCATGAATTTTTTCTCTGTAGGTGAATATCATTATATGCAGTTTTTTTTTAAGGGGAGTTGTGATGATTTTGCATCATTTGAGGCTCAATCGACCGCTACATTTGAAGACTCATGGTTATGGTTTTTATTGATATTTTGTCTATTGTTGTTTGACACTGCGCCAAATTTTCGACGCTACATTCATCTTTTCAAATTTTCAGTATGGATGGAGCTGATGATAGAATTGAATCGGTTATGTTTCTGAGCTCCCTTTTTTTCTCCTTCAACTTTTTTTCTTCTTTTCATTTCTTACAGAATTTTTTTGTGTTTTTTCCTCTACTTTATTTTCTCTTTTGTTATAAATACTCCTTAGATTGTGTACTTTGACAGTTTTAATGGATGAATAACTAATCTCCCCCCCAACCTAGAAAAAAAAAAACACAACAATAATAGGATGAGGGAAAAAATTGGGTGAATTGGTTTTAAATTTTTTTAATTCATTTGAAAAATCAATATAATATGTGAGTAATTAAATAATTTATTTATTTGCATAGTTCTCAATACTACTAATATTATGCATCTCACTTCTAAACTTCAATATTCACATCCCAAGTCTCAGTATCACAACCTTTGACGATCTTGCGGAAGCAAAAACAAAAATGGGATCACAACATAAGATGGGATCAAGGAGTACAAAGGCCTTTGAAACTCTCATCATTCTCCTCATTCGATTCTATAGCTACAAGAATGATGCGTACAAAGAACTCTGAAACTCTCATTGTTCTCCTCCTCCTTCAGTTTGACAACGGAATTTGACATAACTAGACCTTTGAAACTCTCGTCATTCTTCTCCTTTGGTTATGCAACAACGTGATTGTGGTACTCGATTTATAGGTGACAGTCTGACAGGATCGTTTCTTTAGGTTCGACAATGTTTGGTTCAACGACAATAGGCTTGTGGCTTACAAAGTCCTTTGAAAACTCTCTCCTTTCTACTCTTTTCACCTCACGATAATGATGATGTTATTGGTGGGTGTTAATTTAGTTATTATTTGAATAATTTGGGTTCTTTTGATAATTCAAGTGCTCATTCCGCCAAAAAAAAATTATAGCATTAGATTATTCTTTTAGAAGTCAATTTGATAGGTGAATATATTCGCATAAATTTAATAATAATTTAATATTATCAAATTGCTCATTTAATTCTTTGTTCTATTTGATTGGTCATAAGATTTCTCTTAAAATCATGATTTATTTTATTTTGCAACATTTATTAATTTTTTTTATTATCATATTAATGTTTTTATTTCATGAAAGTTGATGTATACTAGAAGATTCACGACAATAGAAAGATTATTTAGTATCTTAGTATTACATAAAAGTTAAATACATATTCAAATAATACAAGTAACATGTAGATATACTAGAAGTTTTTATGTTAAAAATTCGAAAGGAAAAAAATTACAAGGCCTAAACCAGCTGAAATGATCCACGGTGAATTGGTGATTACAAGTACAGATTATTCTTGAGGCAAGAAAAAAATACACAGTTCCTCACAATATAATGTTTGTTGCATAATGATCAACATTGATTGCAATTGGAAGTAGTTACTGGAACTCCGAGTTTAGTTCCCATGAAAATCTCAGGATTCTGTATTTCCTAAAAGGAGTGAACTAAACTAAGAGCAATATTTGTATTCTCCTAAGTTAATGGGTCTTAACTAGGTTATTCCACTAAAGTTTCTTCTAAAACACAAATATTACAACATGTCTCAACAACTCAACTGGCCATGTTATATGCAAATGAATATTGAAAGAATAAAACTTCATCAAAACAAATTTTCACACAATTGACAAACAAAAAATTAAACCCTAAAACTACTCACCACATCGAGGAAAAATGAGAATTGTTGACTATTCATGCTTAATAACAACACAAAACACATTTTATTAATCAATACAAACATAACAAACAGATATAGAAAGAAGAAACTAAAGAGATTAAACACTTGATTTGCAATTTCGTTCTTCATTTCTTCACTAACAAACACTAAGACTCTCAAACAATCATCCTAATTTGTCCCTCCAAGATTCTATCACACTCACCTAGACCTGGGCATTGGGCAGGTCGGGCTTGGCATGAGCTAGGCTATGACAAATCAAAGTGGGCTTGAGTCGGGCTTGAGCTCAGTTTCTATCTAAAAAATGATAGCCAAGCCCGACCACTCCACAGGTCGGGCCGGTTAATGGGCTTTAAAAGACAAATGTGAGTAAGAAAAAATTAAAAATTATGTGCTGCCTATGTAAATTTCTCAAATTTCTTCATAGGCAGCACATAATTTCTGAAATTTTAAACACGAATTTGACTAACACGTCTCTTTACTTAAGAAGGCAGCGTCAAATACCAAAATCTTTGCCTTCTTTAAAGCCCAACAATCCTCTCTTCAGCTTACACATGAGAGAAAACAAAGAAAGAGAAATAAAGATAAAGTTGCAAACTTAAAAGGTTTTAGTTTGTCTTACGGATGATTCTGCATCAAATTTTAATTAATTGAAATAATAACATGTTTTGTTACAAACCAATGGAAGATAGTTTATTACATATAAATCTATCAACAAAAACCATCCCCTCAACTGTTGCAGCTTGAAGAATTACCGACTTCGAGACATAAGAACTTTGCTGCCATTAAGACCAAAGAAAAGCTCAAATCTGAGTGCAATGTAGTAATTCTTCTCAACAATGTCAGCTTGACTCCAAATGAACATAAGAAAATGTAACTTACTCTTTTGATATAGAAAAAATGGGTAAGAAATAGTAAATTTTCCGTGGAAGAAAGAAGTTCGGATTGTAAATTTATCTGAATCGGGCTTTATGTAGGCGAGTTGTGTGGAAGCAACATGGCTGGTGCTTTTGGAATGGAATTTGATGCTTCATTTGCTTTTACTCCTATGTCTCTTTAATGAGTTGTTATGCTCTCATTAGTGCATGTGCCCTATAATTGCATATAAAAGCATATGAAAAGGCATAAATATGTACAATAGTAGAGGAAAATGCATAAAAAATATAGACAAACATATCACACATTTTAGACGCATCAATTCACTCGATCTCATCAATACCGAATGATAACTTAGTGGGATTTTGCCAGCATTCTTTGTTTCTTGCTAATTCATACCTAGTTACAAGCATGCATCATCAAGATGAGCCTTTAAGCTCATGATTCGGGTGTAATATTGAATGTGGTTTTAGACTAAAATTAATTTTATGATATAATAATGTCGTTGAAATTTATTTACATTTTTTTATATCGATATGTACAATTAAATTTATATGATTTAATAATTCAAAATTTTACACGCATTGTACCTATTTCTTAGGGATTAACATGTCTGATGCTAAACTTCAATTTTTACAATATATGTCAGCTCACTTATACGTGTAAATTTAAAATTTCAACTTTTAGAAGTAAAAATAAAAAATTGCGCAAGACATATGGAGATGTTGGTAGAGCGACTTCTCTTTAAATAGGAGACTCAAGTTAGAAGTACATTCTAATCTTCTAATTTTGTTATCATAAAAGCCCACCTCTCTCTCTCTCTCTCTCTCTCTCTCTGTGTGTGTGTATATATATATATATGTGGGTGTGTGTGTGTCGCCAGTCGTGTCCTGTTGGTAGAGCAACCTGGTTGAAAGTCGAAGTCCCCTCATGTTACGGGTTTGAATCCCCTCTGGCTAGTTTGTTGGTAGCGAGAAAACCCAACATAGACTCATATAATTAAAGAGAAGTGAGCACAAGACACCTTAATTTTTACATGCAAACTGTAAAGGGGAAAAACCACGAGTCATAACCCATTTAAAATAATCAACCATGAACGAAGAGTACACATGTTCGCTCTTCTTTTGAATTAGGGGAGATGAATTTACAAATTCAATCATTATAAATGTATAATAAAGGTCATAGTCTGGTTGTTATGAACGTAATTATTTGTGATAATAGACTACAAATGCTAAAGTGAATGCTATGAAGATAGTAGTCCGCCGTAAATGTTCTAGAAGACTATAACACAAGATTGTTTTATATATCGTAGTTGAAAAACATGATAATAGTTGGTCACGTGGGATGTTGATGGTTGCTTCAGTAGCTTCAGTTGACCATAAAGGTCGTAGTATGAAGTTTCATGAACCGTGAGCCACATAGATAGTGGTGGTGAGCTGTGATAATGTTTGTAAGTCATAGATGGAGGAGTTAGGAGTTACACGAGTAAGTCACGTAAGTTATAGTTGGTCACGTAGGCCATAGTGGTGAGCCGTGAAGTCCATAGGTCGTAGAGCTTGAGTCATGAGCTACACGAGTTGTGAGCCGCGTAAGTCAATAGTGGTTAACTAACTAACTCAATGAGACGGACCCAATGATACCAAATCTAATCCAATGTAGAACAAATCAAACCCAAATCAAGTACTTAAACCACTTTTGAGAGCTTTAAATATATAATCAAAGATAAATAAAATCAGAATTTGATAAGCTTATAGTCAAATTAAACATCTCAACAAGATGAATCCAACAAGCTCAAGAAAACTCAATTATGACATCATCAAATGTTCACATGATACCGTTCAATCGGTGAAATATCCCCAGGTTGTTCGATCAGAGTGGTATGATTTTGTTCATTATTTATAATATGGATACTATAAATAGATCTCCACTCTCTTTTGAGAGGGGACCAACTCCTTAACCAAAGGAAGAATATAGTCTGGTGAAGAGGAAGATGATGCTGAGTATTCTACATCGACGATTTGACAAATGCTTCTTGCTTTGTCAGTTGCTGACCACCATCAATTGCTACCTACTTCTTTAAATGAAGTTCGTCACATAATCATAACATATGCTACTATATGTTATGGAACAATGAAACACCGGATAGAGCAACACACAAGGCGCAAACCCACCTCAATAACTGAATAGTGGAATCCCAACAACTATTACCAACTGCAATCACCCTTAACCATTGTGCAACAAATATTGTATTTTGAGAAACTGTGCAATAATTTTTAACCTGTGAGATAAGGATCTGAGTGTATGATCATCAATTCATAGTGCGTCATTCTGATTGAGTCAGATTCTGTGTTTTTTTTTCCATTTATGAGTTATCCATGTAAAAACTTTTGATGTCTCTACAAGTTATTTTTTTTTTATTTGAGTTGCGTCTCAAATTCTCGTACAATGCTAAGAAAATAATTGATTACTCTACCGTTGCTAATCTTCTAGCACCCACTGATGTGTTAGATAAATACATAAACATTTGGTTGTATGTCTGTAAATGACTCTTAATAATTTTATTAATAAACACAAATCTTATCAAAATTATATTAATATCAAATATAATGAACACAAATCTTATAAATTTTTTTTTTCGTAAATCCTTAGCTGTCAAACTTTCTTTTATTAGTTAATGCAATCCACTCTCAAGTCTGGACAAACTATAACAATTAGACCGTGACTTGGAACTAAAAATAGCTGAATTCAATCCCCACCAGCTTCGGATCGGAAAATATGTGGAGCTGCCAAATGACAATTTTTTTCCGGATATATATATATAAAAGATTTCGGATTTTTTTATATCGGCTGCGTCTGCCTTTTACTAAATTAAATTAATCGTCAACTGCCCTTCAATGTTCAACAAATCTTCGCAGTTTTCCGAATCATGGAGGATAAAGATGCCTTTTTTTTCAGTTTAAAGTGATGACTTCTGTTAGGTTAGGTTTGACAAGTTCGGACGCCATGCCCCGTTTGTATTTATATCACCCCGTGATCCACCATCCGTACCCGACGCCATTTCCATCCCTTGCTCCCAAGCCAACACAGAATCAGCTGACTTCGGTTGCTGTGCCGTCTTCTTCTTCTTCTTCTTCTTTTCTCCGATCTTATAGCGGTGGCCGGAGGAGGGATTTCAGGGTCGGTGTTGGGATGGGAGTGACCAAGATGGCTGGATCAAGGGTTTCTGTGGGAAGCATAGCGGGATCTGATCCTGCCGGCGCTGGTAAGATCTCGCAGCTCAACGCGGTTGTTCTCGGCGAGGCGCTGGTTTCCGAGGAGAATGATCTTGTCTTCCCCAGTCCAGAGTTCTCAGCGCAGGCTCTCGTTTCTTCCCCGGAACAGGTTTTTTTTTTCTTTTTTCACTTCGCTTTATTGTTTCTATGGTTAAAAGGCGACATGTGTTACAGTTTATTTAGTGTAAATCGACGGTTCAATGCTTTTGAGGCCAAGGATCATGCGAATTGTGAGTTTTTTTTTTTTTTTGTCAAGCGATGTTGTTGGGTGATGCAATGATGTTAGATTGGCTTGTTTAGTGGTTTAGGGTCTGTTTGGTCGCGCTACTCAGGAAGTTGCTGCGGGAAAACTGACTGACTGTTTGTTGCAGCTGTGGGATAGCTGTTTCTGAAAAAGTGACCATTATACCTCTGTTTAGTGAAGTTTTTTAAAACAGAACTATTACAACACATATTTGATAATTCAGAAGCAGAAATTCATTTAAAAACATAACAAAAGTACGAATACACAATTCACTCAGCAGTGAGTATCAAAAGTGTTAAGAAAGTTTACCTTTTCACGTGTATACCAATTTCATCTTCCAACATGAATAAGGAAAATTGTTACTGAAATCTTAAAAGTTGACCTTTTTACAAAGAGAAGGGATGTTTCTCTTGAAACTACAATTTTCCCATCAAGCTAAATAACATCAATTCCAATGTATTTGCACATCTAACACCAAAAACATACTACATTGAAAACTTTGCTAATCACCCTACTTGGAAATTGTTTTTTTTGTGTTGCTGTATTCACTGATTGACTATCTTAAGTTTCCAATCAATCATACATTTTGCAATGAGCAAAACATTAAACAACAAAATGCTTGTGGAATGTACAATGGAGGATAACCATATAGTTAGGGAATAGCGCTCGAAACATTTCTATATACAAAACTAACACCCAAGTGATTTTTTTTAAATGCTAAAGGAGTAAAAAAATGCGTTCATCAAAGTTAACAGGCTAAGATAATGCATACGGAATATTTGCAAAAACAAATATTTATTATGCTAATCCTAAACAGTTTGACAAAGGCAAATGGTGTTGATGAGAAAATGATAATATTAAATTAAAGAATATAAAACTTAAAAATGAAACCAAAATTGCAAAGCACCTGAAACTTATCCAAAAATTTAAGTTGACTCAGAAGAAATATGAATAAAGATAAACATTCAAGAATAAATGGGATACCTAATTAGGTATAAAGAGTTTTGAAGCTAGAATAATATGGTTGACCAATTTGTTTTAATAAAAAATTAGTGACTAAAAGCAATGTTAATATTTGATTAAAGAGTAGATGTTTTAAGAAAACCATGAAGTTTAGAATTGGGCACTTATGTGGAAGTAAATGAGTAATCCGATAGAAGTGAAAGAAGAGGGTAATGGAATAACCAGGAAAATCACAATCCGCAAAGACTCAAGTTGAATATTATAAAGATAACTTGTGAAATAATTTTTGTGCAAAAAAATAATTAATAAAAAAGACTTATAACATAAAAAAAGCATCAAGTTATTTGTTGATTTAAAAAAATGATTACCATGAAACTAATCAATTAGGCATAATTCAAGAGGCTCTCAAGTACATAGTTAAAGTTAAGAAATAAGAAGGACAATTGAAGCAAGATAACAAGCAAAGTGTACAAAAATACAAAACAAAATTTAAAAGAAAAGCGGTTACCTTAAAATTTTAGTTAAATAAAAATTTTGTATTGATGATTTATGTTGCAAGGCTTTAGAAAAAATGTCAAATAGAATTGAATATTATTCTAGTTGTTAAAGCTCTCAAAGCTAGTGCAAAATGTATAGCTCTCGAGCAAAGAATTAGATTATCTTCCATAAGACAAAAAAATACTTGCTTACAGCTACAAACAAGGATAACGTTAAATGTCAACTATAAATAAGCAAGACACTAGACAACTGTCATTACCGCGAAAAACTTGAGATAAAAGATTAAGGATTGTTAAAATTTATATCCTAAGAACAAAGAGAATGTAGTATATTTTTCAGAAGATGATTAGCAATGCTTTCGGCTGACAAAGCTGAGTCCATAGTAGCGTGCAAAGCAAATTTCCAAGTAGCCAAAATAACGTACTACATTGAAAGATTGGCTGGTTGTGAATTTCTGAGAAAGTATTACAAAACTTACGTCTATAGTTTGCCATTAAACTTACAAGCAGTCCTTAAGTCCCCCAAAAATGCTAGCCAACATTATTGTGAGAATTTAAGAGCAAGTCCTCGGGCTGATATAATTCACTATAGCCACATTATAAAAAATGATGTTTTTGCAGGTCTCACATTATATCTATCAGCATTTATGCTATACGAGAATGAGCATTTTTTATATCATGCACTGTTTAGTTTTATTGTGTGTGTGTGTGTGTGTCTATGGGTGTGTCCGTCTGTATATATATATATATATATATATAGCTCATTCTTTTGTTGCATAACTGCAATAACTATAGTTATACTAAAAAGACTTTGGAATTACTTTTTTATAAGCAGTACTACAGAAAATGCTTTTATATGCAGGACAAGCTGCAACATTTCTGGTGATATTTGTTAAGGTTTTAATGCTGATTTTTGTCAATAAGTGAATATATTGTGCTCAGGTAATATGTGGTTCTATGGATTAGTTTAAAAAGGGAAATGTACATACACACCCCACAATTTTTATTCATTTACGTATTGAACCCCAAAAATTTGATATTACATGTATATCATTTTGATTTCATAAAGCTATGCATGAAAAATGTTTTGTTCTCTTTTAAATGATTAGTAATAGTCATATGTTTTATTTGATGTCAAAGATTTGAGTGTTATATATGTAAATATGAAACTTTAAGAATTAGATATTGTAAGGTATGGTTCATATATCATAAATGGGACAGATGCTGGAGCTGAACTGGAGGATCCGTCCAATCGGGGGAGTTTTATTATATGGGTTGGGGGAGTGAGGGTAGCACCCCACGGTTTGTTACAGGAGTAATTTAAGTAATTACATATTGTACAATAGGGTTATACATATGTCCTGTTTGTAAGCCTAGGTGAGACTCTGAGAGCTGAATTTTGTATTATGTACTCTTTTCTGAATACTGAAAAAGGAGTCGCCGCTCTGCTCCCGAGGACGTAGGCTTCTTTGGCGAATTTCGTTAAATTTCTTGGTGTTCTTCTGGATTTGTGTTGATTTTTGTTTTTCTTCGCCTTAATTTCTCGACAAATATGTAAATGTATAAGAAATGTGTGGTAAGCATGTTAATGATCCTTTTTTTTTTAAAAAAACAGTTTCAAAATTATTTTATAATATATGTATTTTACATTTAATCTTCCTTTATTTCTATATTTTTTTATTTGATTTAAAAAATAATTTTTTTGTTGTATTAATAGGCGTTTAATGAATTTGATTGTGAGCATTTACATTCATACCACACAATTCTTCTGTAGGTAGATCTCTAAAAAATAAATTATTATATTTACATGCACGAATCTCAAATGAAAATATGACACTCAGTAGGACATAAGCGAAAAAGGTTTTATATAGCTGGCCCCATTTATTGGGATAAAGACTTGTCGTTATTGTTGTAGTTGGTATGTTGTAGTTGTTGTTGAATCTCAAATATTTGATATCACAAAAAAAGGAAAGAAAAACATCAATATTCCTTTTAAAAGCATAATACATATTTTCATGCATGATTTTACCACATCAAAGTATAATAAATATAAGGAAAAGTTACATATTACACATCCCACCCTTAAACCTTCATATTTACATACATGTACTTTGCTGCTTTAAATCTATGCATGAAAAAAATGCACTGTTAATAAATGATACTAGTACTCTCTTTCTCTGCTTTTAAAAATTTGAATGATATATGTGTAAATAGAAAAATTATTTCATACGGACGGCGTATACAGAGATGCATGCGCCGTGCTATCTCCACCGTTGATCAGAGCTTTTATCAATTTTTTTTCTTAAAAAATGGGCCCACCGAAATACAACTTTACTTTGGTCTGATCAACGGTGGAGATCCGAAGGCCATCCACATGGAATAAATTATCGTGTAAATATGCAACTTTAGTCATAATATATGTAAATATATAAGAATTATGTGTGATGTATGCGCAAGTCCCTAAATATAAATATGAAAGCTTTAGGTGTAAGAAACATAAATACATAAGAATTATGTGATGTATATATATAAATATTGTCCTTGTTTATATTATTGCGTTAAGACATTCAATCCTCAATCTCTTTGTGAATGCATTGAAATGCATGCTGCCTATTTTAAGATTTTTTAAGGAAAAAATATTTCATATACTATTTTTTTATACAACAATACTTTTGGATGGTATTATAATATATATATTGACCAGAGTTATTGACAAGTAGTAATATAAAAAACTTAATTTTAAATTTTAGGATTAAGAGTTTAATTATTTATGAGGCATGAAGTCTCAATCAAAGCATTAACCCTGTAATTATTCACACGGTATCTCACATGGCATCTTTTTGGTGGGGACGAAGACTAGTATAACACATGTTGGACCTAATAAGTAGCTTGGATTTGACCTAATTAGTTCTTGATCAGAGGCAAGTATGACTATGTTCATTGGCTCAATAGTTGTTATTGATACATCATGTATCGAAAAATTTATTTCATCTAGCATGAATTTCGAGCGAGCGAGCGAGCGAGAGAGAGAGGAGATTGAAAAGTTGTAGTATTAATTGAACTATTGTGACTCTTATTTCAGTAAACTTATAGTCGAAATGACGTGTTGGTGATACAAATTTGACGAAATAAAAATGAATTGAAGTATCAATACACCTCATTTTTCGTCTGAATTGAATCTAAACTTGTAAGTGAGGGAGAAACTCAACATATAAGAAGAGTTTGGAGCTCTGCTTGATATTTGGCATTGAGATCATTGCTACCTAACACCATTGTTTCACTACCATTGTGATTTAATTATTGTTGGACAAGAATATTTTGATCATTATTATTTTATTATCATCATTAGGAAAAAAAAAAACACTTAATTATTATTGTCTTTATGTCATTGATTGTCTTCTAACA